GAAAACACTCCACCCCTTGATAACCTACGTAGAAGAGTGAATTTTATCTCCCTTCATGCTCCTTCAAGATATTAAGAAATTACTATTAGCCAGCTCCAGCTGTCCTTCCCCTCCACGTGACACATCAAGCAGCTCAGAGCTTCAGTGTCTCTCTCTGGCTTTCTGGTTGTGCTTTATGCAGCAGACAGGCCTCATGGCTTCTATCTGATGGAATGGGAATGGGCCTGGCAAGCATTCTCCCCAGCGAGCCAGAGCCCGCAGCCCCCAGCACAGCTCTCTCCTTGCTTCTGTACCACACTCACTGTAACTCCCGCAGATCGTTGTCAGAACTAATTAAGAGGATTGCTAACAGCAAAAAAGGAAAAAAAAAAAAAAAAAGTCCTGAGAAATCACATTTGAGCCAAAAGCTGGGGGACAGTTACACTACTGCCTCTGCTGCCTCCTCACAGAGGGCTGATTTTTGGGGGCCCCTCATTGTGGCCAAAGCTGCTATCAGTCTGCCTAAAGCTACAGTTTCAGAGTTGATGGAAAACACAGCTCAGAGATCCTTAATCTGATGTAACATGATTTATTTAAGTTTGTCTCTCACTTTCTGACAGTGCATCAAGACATCAGCAGCAATGTTTTTTTTTTTCCCCACCTAAGTTCCCACCAGTTAACTTCTTCTCACATCCCTTCCAGTACATTAACCAACAACTTTGAAGACTTATAGAGTCCCTCCAAAAATTACTTCTTACGATGCAGGCTGACAGAAAGCCTTGGCTGACCCGAACTCTTTGTGCCACCAAGGCCTGCAGCCCCCTTGACCGCATTCTGCATCACAGTCATGCTGGTACCGACACTCTTGGGGACAGTGATCCAGCTGAGAACCATTCCTAGCACAACCAAATGAGAAAGTAAATTAATAGCGGTCCAGGAGCAGCACTGCCACATGGCAATGAGCCATGGGGAGCATAGACACAGCCACGTTCAGTCAAGTGTAAGATTGAACTAATCGTGAAACGGCATTTTTTGGAATTCCCAAAGATGGCACCCCATGGTAAGCACAGCACCAAGCACAGATTACTCTTCAGACACTTCATCAACTGCTTTTACCACATACTCATTCAGAGCCTGGTCCAGAGCTCCCAGTCACCCGGAGCAGAGAAGCACACCAGGCTCAGCCCAAAGCCTCTGGCATTCCCATTTCCCTGCACACCATGTCCTTTCAGCTCCATTGCAAAGGTCTAAGCCCACCCAACCCCTCCACCAAAACACAAGCCTCAAAGACAAATGTATCTAAGAGGGATTCCTAGAAATACCTTTTCTCCCTTTTGTGCTGCTTTAAGACAGCAAAGAGCTTCATCCTACAATGAGGTGAGATGCAGATCTGAGAGTGGTTTTGCATACCAATTCTGTAACCAAATTTAACAGTTTCATCATGCACACAAAGAAAGGCAAGGGAAACAGTTAGAGCAAACTAATGTGTACAAGATATTTGAACACTGAGCAAAGCTGCCGTACCACAACGCCTTACAGCCCAACCAACAGCTGCAAATAGCCTGATTTACTAATTTCACCAAATTTCCATGCTTCTCCTCTATCTCCTGATTCAGGCTGGAAGGATCCTCCACAGGATAGCACAGATTTAGAACTCTTCCTATTGAAATTCTGAAGTCCTTTCCCCCTGCTGCCCTATTTATCTAAATTATATTTTTCAGAGCTGGAAAGGACACAAGTTGGAAAACAAAAGCCTTTCTTATTTCTGCTCCCTAATATTCCTGAGTCCTCTGCATAATCATTCAGTTTTGATAACCCCCTTTTATACGCCATACTGAACAATAGCAAAAATAAGAAAGGCTACAAAGAACAACAAATCAAATTAAGGGTTTTGCTATTCATTGAGGGTACATGAAACAAAGGAGGACTAGCACTATCCAAGAAATCAGACCTCCTCTCCAAGGCATTTTTAAATTGCTCTCTAAGTAATTTGAAGCAGATTTTGCTAGTAGGACTGGAGGGAGAATGCAGGCTTCGTATAAAGGGCCTCAGCAAGACCCGATAGGTGAATGATGGTCTCTGCACCATATTGGGCAAACTCTGATTATCTAAATCTTAGTTAATCAAAAGCAGTTATGTGAAAGTCAAAAATGCCCTCCAAGTCAGAAAGCTCAGTGAGATCAGGACTAACAAAGCACGTAGAAAGCCTGAACTCCCCAGGACCATGAGTGCAGACTGAATTTTAAGCAGGATAACAGGAGGAGAGGGTTTTAACAGTATCCCAGCCTCCCAACCCAAGGGCAGGCTTCAGAGCCTGCTAAAAGATTACCTTTGCAATTACTCGGACATTTTTGGTGTCTCCTTGCACCCTCAGATTACAGAATACTCAGACTGCAGTTCCACTTTGGCATTTACAAACTGACGACTCTGGGAGAAAGTCTCCATTACAGGCAGAGCTGGTAGTGCCACCTATTATTAAGGCTGCTGATACTTCCCATTGCAAGACCCTGCTTTCAGTTCTTCACAGCTCTGAAAAAACATCCAAACTCTTACTCAGGCTATCTGCATTTCTATTTCATCTCTATATATATGAGGATCACTAACATTTGGTTTTGCTTATCTCTTATATTCTATTAAGCTCGTTGCTAGCAAAGCTGCACACAATGGTCCAAAAAAAAAAAAAAAAAAAAAAAAAAAGCAGCTAAAATTATAAAAAAAATCCAGCAACCACAGTCTGTAGCAAAGGGAAGAACAAATCTGCTCTTTGCATTTATCATGGAAAGAACAAACGTGGACAAAGTTCAATATGAAATATTAGGAAAGATTTAGTAACGCATGGAAAACAAAGGACTTGGACTGTCAGGGCAGGCAACAGCACCACAAATGTTTTAAGGCAGGCTGCTCAAGCCCTCCACAGCAACGGTTTATGTGCCATCAGTTCTATCAGGAAATAGGAACGCTCCTGAGGACTACTGGCAGTGCCACTCACGTCTCATTTTCTGTGATTTCATGCTCTAGTTCAGGCCTCATCCACAGCTTACAGGAGACACAGGCCATGCCAGATGTCTGGAGACCAGCAACAGCAGAAGGATGACCCGTCTCCTGCACTTTCAACTATCCCCTTTGTAGGGATCACGTAGCATCGCACAGCAGTTACCCACTCCAAATACAAACAAATAATGATCTAGAGATATAGAAGAAGGAAAGCAAGTTGGGACTAGGAGCCTGAGAGCCAAGAGGACATACAGTTACATGGGAAGAAGGAGATAAGTTTGACTGCAATAGGAGCAGGAAAGGATGGACTTGGACGGGACAAGCTATTGACTGGAGCTCATGCAGAATCAGTGAAAAGATCCATCTCACCTCAGCCATTCATGCCAGGGTCACATAAGGATGGAAGAGAAAACATGCCTATTTGTGCATGCCTAACATTGCGAAAAGTCACCATTCCTCTGCTGTCAGCAAATCTATAAAACCAACTGGCAAACACACATCAAGCCGGTCTGTACAGAAAACGACAGCTAATTACACATTCAGGGTAAGTGGCAGAGGTCTGTGGGATGCATCTGGAACGGCCAACCCTGCTACTGATACTGGCAGAGGTCATCGCGGTGCCACATGGACTGGAGCTGGGGGGATGGGAGGAAGGCTGTCTGGTTTTTCTTTCCCTTTTTTTTTGTGGAAAAAAATAGCAGGCACTCATGTGATTAAAGACCATCAGAAATAGGCACAGAAATACAGAGAGCAAACAAAGGTTTCCTTCCCAACTTAAAATATGGAAATGCCCTAGAACTGAAGTGCCTTCCCATTACCATCTCGATACTCTCAATTCAGTTAATGAATAATGTTGCTGAATCGTATCAACAGACAGTTTTGCAAAGCAATATAAATAAATCCATCAGATATTTTAAACAAATCACGCTGCTGAACAGACCCTGCGTTTGTCCTATTTTCTCTTCTATATGCAAAGCACACTACTTTTACACGGCTTTCATTTGATCATTAATTGCTCTCGCTTCTGGGAACCCTACAAAAGCAGCCTATCCACTGCAAAAACCATCCCACATGGCACAGCATCACAAAGCACTCCGTAGCAGCAAACTAAAATGCATTTGGGAGGAACGTTAACATCTTTCTACTCAGATTCCAGGAAGAAGAGGATCTGACTACATCCCTTCGAGTATTATTCAAGACCACACTGAGGCAAAATAACCACTTCCTCGCGAGTATTTAGAGGAATGCCCTTTAGTGAATCCTGTGACTTTGCAGCTAGGAGGGAAATAGGTCAGGCATTCTACCTGAAGCAGTTAATAAGCCCAGAACCAGAAAATAAAGAAAAACAAACAATAAAAAAAGATCACCTCTCCCCCCAACCCTCTTTGCACTGGTAATGGAGGGAATATTATAGTAAAATGATGGTCAATACTAATTAAATGCACCGCAGCCATCATAAATGAACAACTTGCAGTGAAAGGCATTAGCGATATTAAGGGCTCCTTCCTTCTCAGCCTCCAACTGAGGATATTTTGGGTAGCTCGCTACAACCTTCTGCACTAATCTAGATACTTCACAAATTATCAGTTCCTAAGATAGCAGTAAAACAGCATTTCAAATTACGTAGCTCTTCATCTGAGTAGGAAGGCATGCACTGAGGCAAACCCATGCCCCCTCCTGTCCCAGCTCCCAGGTATGTGGGATCAGCTTCCCATCCACTTGCAGAAGATACGCGCTGTGGAGCAGCGAGGTTTTTTCTAAGACGAGGACTGAAGGAAATGGCACTGCCGTATCAGGTTCCCTTTGCACTGCCATCCCTCCTAGGCAATGCTACATGCAACTTCTGCCATCCCGAGGCTGCCCTGTGAGTTTGCTTTTACTCCGGCACATCTGAAAGCGCTCAGGAAAGGTGACAAAGGGAAAAAACCCTTAAGAATAAGCCTTTCTTCACCAGCAGTTAAATTCCTACTTATCCCAACAGTTATAGACACAATCCATAGGCCCACATCAAACAAACAAGTCCTTACATCAGGGCAAGCGAGCTGCAGGTCCATCCTTCAATCTCCGGGGGAGATTCTCCTGGAAAAGGGCCTGGCCAGGACTCCTCTCACACAAACCTCTGCTGCTGACATGGTGCCCGCAGCGCTAAACCGAGGTCCTACGACAAACAGCAGAAGGGAGGCAAGAACTAGGGGGTACACAGAGGCAGAAAGTCAGGTAACGCATAAACAAGCACCGCGTTCAGAATGGCAATGAAAGAAAAAGAGCATGAGGCCGTGGGATACAAGAAGAGCAATCCCCTTCAGACAGCTCATGCAGGGGGGACACCAAACCAAGGAGCAAATAGCAAATAAGCTGAGGGAGAGGGGGCTGCCATCCTCCAAGCAAGGAAAAGGGCTGGGGAATAGCGGTAGCTCCCAAGAGAATCCCTCAATGCGTGGAAAAAGCTCTTTCTTCACCACCACCCCCCTTTTTTTGAGGGAAGGGTGGGGAAAGGGGGAAGGAGGAGATGCTGGAGCATCCAGCTTGCCAGAGGGAAGGAGATCCCAAAGAAGCGATACGGGGACAGCAGGAGAGGCTGTCCTGGCACTCGGGCTCCCCTGCAGACAGTTCAAACAAAGGAGGATGATCTCCTACAACAGGATGCTTCGCACATTTGCGAGGTGGCTGTCATGATGGGCATCGTCTCTGGTCCCCAAATCCACCCCCACTGCCTGAGCCCAGAGCGAGCACAGACCACTGTCATGGGAGGTGGGGAGACAGGGGAAAAGAACAAGGCAGAGTAAAGAAAAGGAGATAGAGAGGCCTTTAATGAGTCAGCTGCTGCTCCGATTTAAATAAGATCTCCATTTATGGAGCTCTGTCATTTTTTGTTAGGTTTTTTTTTTTTTTTTTTTTTTTTAAATCATTGGCTGAACGAGCAACTTCGGGCCGTGCAAGGTTGTCTCTAGCTGCACATGGGGTCTGGGAGGGAAAGGGTTATGGAAGGGGGAAGGGGGAAGGGATGAAAACCTCTGGAAAAAATGAGACTGCTCGCTGGTTCGTTTTAACAAGGACATAAATTAGTCTCAAAGCCACAAACGCCATCACCTCCCTGAGCCCTGGGCAGAGCACAGCGAGCGAAACACGTGCCAAGATAAACGGCTCTGGCTGGAGCCGCTGAGGGGTGCTGGGGGACGGGAGGGGGCACGCCGGCAGCAAAGGCACCTCGGATGGTGCCGCAAAATGGAGCCCGGTGATCCCACAACCTCACAAAAGGGGACCTTCAGATGTTCCTGCCTACACCCACATCAAAAGGCAGCCACTCGAGGCGGAGAAGGAGGGAAACCGGGGTGCTGCAGGCTGGAAATAGCAGCTTTCCCTGCTCTGGCTTTAATTACGGCGAGTAGCCCTTCCTCCTCCTCCTCCTCTTCCCAGCTTGGAAGAAGGCCCGCGTGCAGGCAGCAGCCCAGGTGAAAGCTCCATCGCGGCAGCAGGGAGGGGAGCAGACAATGGCGGGGTGATTCATTACAAAGGCACACGGCCCTGCGCTCAGCGCTGCCACATGGGCTGTGGGACTCCCGACAGAGGCAGAGCTCCCCTCCCGCCCCCTGAGATGCTCAACACCTTCCCCCTCTCCCAGCTCTGATGGGAAACAGATTCGGAGGAAAACGCCAGCACGGCACTGGGCTGTCCAAGAAAGGGAGGGCTTTGTGCTCCACGCAAGCCAGCAGCCTCGCCATGCACCACAAGGAGAAAAAGCCCTTAAATGTGGAATTCCCATCCACCCAAGAGTTTCTCTTTCATCTGCAATTAGCACATGTTGTACTGGGCTCCGTTTAACACTC